CTACTTGCCCTTTAAATGTAAATGTGTCCTCAGTTTGAAACAAATGAAACAACCCACAACAAATTTCTTCATCACAACACCTTCATCTGCTCCGCATGCAGCTTTTAAATCACTGAAAAGGCTTCCAGTCTTTTCTTGCACCAAAACTTATTGACCCATTGCCACCTAGTCGATTCCAACTCACGACCCTATTGGACAGAGCAGATTCAAACTGCCAACCTTTTGGTTAGCACATAAGCACTTAACCACTGCACCACCAGGGCACCTTCTTGTATTACAGTAAGGCTCAGTAAGAACTGTATGACAGGCTTGTTCCAATTTATCTACAAATTCAACTTAAAGACACACTTAGGAACAGATCTCATTCGTAACCCAGGAATTGCCTTTACTTGTCTACTCAGCATCTCCATGTGGCGATCTCATACTCTAAAGCACATTAGGTCTGTCAACAAACTTACCATCATCTCCCCAAACGTGCTCTGCCTCCAAAGGCACCAGCATACACCCAGTTGCTTATGCCAATAAATTGGAAATCACCCTTGATACTCATTCTTATTCACATCCCACTTCTAATTATCACCCAAGTCCTGCAGATTTTACATTTGATGTTGAAGTCATTTCACTTTTTACCACTTTCACTGCTCCTACCCCAAACAAGTCCCTATCATTTCTCACCATTTCTTCTAACTGATCTCCCTGTAGCTATTCTTGCCCCCTGCAAAGTACTCTACATCCAGCAGCCAGAGAGATCTTTTGGAAATGCAATTCTGATCATATTATTTCTCTACTTAAAACTGTTTCCCTTAGACAGAAATCCTAATCTAGGCCCTGCAAGATGTAACCCTATCTCCTCAGCCACTCCCAACTCCCCTTGCTAACTATGCTCCAACTACTTGATTCTTTTAGTTCCTCAACCATCATACAAGATCATTTTCCTGCTTAGGCACATCACATGAGCTGGTCCATCTCCCAGATCACCCTACCATCATGATCCCTGCACAACTGCAATCCCTTTATACTTCAAGTTCCCATTTAAAAATCACTTACTCTATAAACACCATCCAGCCCAGGTTCCTCTGTACATACCCACTCTTCATTTACCTACAATGGTTAGGTCCCAAAGACCAGGTCATTGTGTGAAAATTGGCATTATCAAAGAAAACTACAAAACATTAGCACAAGATACCAAATGAGACCTACATGAATGGAAGAATGTACCATGCTTATGGATAGGAAGACTTAACATAATGGAAATGTCAATACTACCCAAAGTGATCTACAGATATAATGCAATCCTGATCCAGATTCCATCACCATTCTTTAAAGGGATGGAAAAACTAATCACCAACTTTATAGGCATAAGTAAAGCACTACTAAAGAAGAACAAAGTAGGTGGCCTCACACTTTCTGATCTCAATACCTTTTTCACATCCATGGTTGTCAAAACAGCCTGGCACTGTTACAACAAGGGACACACAGATCAATGGAACAGAATTGAGAACCCACAGGTAAATCCATCCACCTATGGACAGTTGATCTTTGACAAAGAGCTGAAACTCATTAAATGGGGAAGAGAGAGTTTCTTCAACAAATGGTGTTGGCAAAACTAGATATCCATTTGCAGGAAAAAGAAACAGAACCCATATCTCACACCATAAATAAAAGCAAACACAAGATGGATCAAAGACTTAAATGTAAAATCTAAAACTATAGAGATCATCAAAGAAAAAACAGGGATAAACTGACTGCTAACCAGAAGGCTGGTGGTTCAAACCCACCACCCACTCCTGGGAAGGCAGGTTGGGCAATCTACTTTCGGAATGATATCACCTCAGAAATCCAAGGAGGGGTCACTATGAGTCAGATCCAACTTGATGGCAGTGAGTTTGGTTTTTTTTTTTGGTTTACACATGACAGAAATACACTATCAAACATAACTAAAAATACAAAAGACCAGAAGACAAAATAGATGACTGGGACTGCCCAAAAACTAGACATTTATGTGCATCAAAAGATTTCACCAAAAGAAGAGAACCTGCAGACTGAAGAAAATAAAAAATTGGCAACAACAAGTCAGATAAGGGGCTAATCTTGAAAATGCACAGAAACTTCAACACATCAACAACAAAGAGACAAATAATCCAATTGAAAAATGGGCAGAGGATATGAATAGTCACTTTACCAAAGAAGACATTTAGGAAGCCAACAAACACATGAAGACATGCTCATGAACATTAGGTACTAGAGAGATCAAAAACAACAACATATCATCTCATTACTAGCAAAGTTCAAAAAAAGCAGAAAACAACAAATACTGGCAAGGGTATGGAGAGACTGGAACCCTCATACACTGTAGGAATGTAAAATGATGCAGTGACTGTGGAAAATGGCTTGGTGCTTCCTTCCAATGCTGGAAATGAAGTCATATATGATCCAGCAATTCCACTGCTAGGCATATATATATATGCTCTGGTTACTCAGTGCCACTCTGACAGGAATATACCACAAATGGAATGGCTTGAAGAAACAGGAGTTTATTCTCTTACATTTTGGAGGCTTTAAGTCCAAGTTCAAAGTGCCAGGCTCTAGGGGCCGAGTGAAAGCCCCTCAGCCTTGGGCTTCAGCTCTGCCTCCTGCTCCCGGCCCACTGAAGCTAGAGGCTTTTCTTCACTCAGACAGCTGCTGGATGCTGAGGCTGACAAGCCCAAGATTGACAAGTAAAAAGGCACAGTCCTGATGTTACCAAACCACATGGCAAGCCATTAATTCAAGTCCATTGAAAGTCCCAAGGTCAGCAGAGCATGGCAGGCTGCTGAACAACAACATGGCTATATGCAGGGTTCAAGCGTGCCATAAGCTAAGAGACCATTCCCAAAGGCTTCTGCTTATATACAGGAAGCAGACCACATCCCTAAGGCAGCTACTCAGCTGCTCACAGTAGTTTCCACCATGGAAATGATTACCAATCTATCATGGGGAATACTACGTTCCCATGTATTATATTGAGCTGCCCAGCCACTCAACCAGGCCTAGCAAAGTTGACAGACAAACTTAAATACCACAGTATATATACTAGATAAATAAGAGCTGTGACACTATATATGTACTCTCATGTTCATCACACTATTATTCATGATAGCAAAAATATGGAAACAACCTAAGTGCCCATTAGTGGATGAATAGATAAACAAACTATGGTACATACACACAGTGGAACATTACACAACACTAAAGAACAACAATGACTCTGTGAAACATCTCATAACATGGATGAACCTGGAGGATATTATGCTAAGTGAAATTAGTCAATCACAAAAGGACAAAGATTACATGAAACCAGTATCATAAAAGGTCAAGAAAAAGTTTACACACAAAAAGAAATACTCTTTGATGGTTACCAGGATTGGGAGAGAAATAGAGGGTAAACCAGTAACTAGCGAGTTGACACATATTACCTTGGGTGAAGAGGAAGGCAGCATACAGTAAGAGGATGTCTGTTTTACAGCTCCTGACAAACAACAGACACCTAATAAATGTTTCTGAATGATTAAAGAAAAGAAAATTGTCATATGTAGAAGTGGAGGATGACTACAACAGATTACAAAATAAAGGATGAATACAACGGCTCCTTACTTATATCTTGTGACCTAAAATCTGCATTTACGACAATGGTGAAAAAAAAAACCAACATAATGTATGTCAGTCAGTAACAAACACCGAGGTGCAAGGCACAAGTAACACTGGCTGTGATGATTAAGTTTCTCTGTCAGCTTGGCTGGGCCACGATTCTCAGTGGTTTGGTAGTTATGAAATGATGTCACCGTCCCCCATGATGTGATCCGGTGCGATCAGTCAACCAGTTGTAAGGAGGGTAGGGTGGGATATAGCCCTTAGTTAAGTCACAGCCCGAATCAGAGGCAAGAGAGTTTCCCTGGGGTGTGTGGCCTGCATCACTTTTTATCTTAGAAAAGACATAAACCAGGAAAAGCCAGCAGAGAAGGAGGAACCTCAGTACCTCCAAGAAAGAAGAATGGGGAGCACAGCACATCCTTTGAACCAGCGTCTCTGTGCTAAGAACCTCCTACACTCAGGGGAAGACTGATGCCAAGACATACAGACATCTCCAAAGAATGCCAGATCCACAATGCTGAAAGGACGTAAGGGCCTTCCCACAGAACCAATGAGAAAGAAAGCCTTCCCCTAGAGGCAGTGCCCTGAATTTGGACTTCTAGCCTCCCAAGCTATGAGAGAATAAACTTCTGTTTGTTAAAGCCATGCACTTGTGGTATTTCTGTTATAACAGCACTAGATAACTAAGCCAAGGGCCATGAGGGCAAAGAGCGTTAGGCCTGTCTCTGCTGTATTCTCAAAGCCCAGAGTAGTGCTTTGCACACAATGAACATTCAACAAATATTTGGTGAAAGAAAAAATGAAAATTCATAAAGATTTCTTTAACACACACTAAATCATAGCATAACCAATTGGAGTAAGAGGTTATATTAAAATTTTCAATCAGACTATGAATTCAAACTCTTTTCTATAATCATAAGGTATATGGTGTTCAAGTACCATATGTAAAAAGTCTAGTATTCCATATACAACTGGAAATTTAAATACATATTAAAAAATTGGACATTCTGAAAAAAATTTTAGGTTGGAAAAAAATATTAAACTTATGAAAACAGTCATTTAGCACCTGATCTTAGCTGCTCTGTGAGTATGCTGCAATTTAACATGAAGAAATATTTCTGAGAAGAGATGTCATTTTTAAAATTGTAGTTAAACAAGTATTTTGACTGCCTCTAGTCCGACTTGTTATTTAAAGGAAAATTTTTCTGAGTATCCAGGAAAGACTCAAAATGTGAATAAACATCCTAATTCCTGAAGATACTGCCTGAGCCTTCTCTGTTGTGCATTTTTAATTATTAATTCTCACTGAACAGACATGACCCACCGGCCAAAGACCTTCAAAGAATTCCACGGACTCGCCGTGCTCTCACCTTCGGTATCTCTTTGGAGCCCAGAGCTTTGGGACCTTCTCGATTTAGGTAGCTGCGATAAGCTTGGTAATTAGCGCGTTTCTTTTCCAAATCTTCAGGACTTGTAGACTTAGAGGAGAGGAAACGGAAACTGAGCAGTTATGCAAAATTCATGGAAAATTAAGAACATGTCTCTACCAGTGACTATGCAGTCATTTCTGCCCGATTCTTAGCTGTGTGAGTACCACCCAGCTTGCATACACCTGACTGAGATCCTGCCCGGTTCTTAGCTGTGTGAGTACCACCCAGCTTGCATACACCTGACTGAGATCCTGCCCGGTTCTTAGCTGTGTGAGTACCACCCAGCTTATATACACCTGACTGAGATCTTTGCATCAGTCCTTCTCACACTTTGCCATCTCTAAGCAAATAAATGAAAGAGTGCGTTTTATTTTAGAAATTCATATTAATTTTAAATTCTATTCCATAATATATCCATGCTCATTTTAAGGTAAAAATAAAGCTTTTCCCAAGTGAACTTGATCACCCAAGATGATAAGCTATGTTCATCCTATGACTTTCAACACCCTTCAAACACGGCTCTGTACCAGTGGGAGTATGAGCACCCCCACGAAAGCCTTCATCTAAGCAAACAAACAAACAAAAACCAAACCCACTGCCATCGAGTCGATTCTACTCATAGCGACCCTCACTGGGTTCCCGAGGTGGTAAATCTTTACGGAAGTCGATTGCCTGGTCTTGCTTCCACAGAGTGGCTGGTGGGTTTGAACCACCAACCTTCATCTAAGCATCCAGTTCAAATAAGGAGCAAGGTTTCTGCCAAAGAACAGACCCATTCTATATGCCCCTGTTCTCCTCATATATGTCTTCTCTCCCCCATTCTATTTCTTTCAGGAGATCTGAAAAGATTAGTGTATCTCAGAAAATCCTGGGAAATTTTTAACTATGTACCCCAAGACCCACCTCCAGTTTCTGATTCAGGGATATGGCTAGGGCATGTGTGTGAAAAAACGTCCTGGATAATTCTGATTTTAAAATCGTAACAAGATGGCCTCTGTTTTTTTTTTTTTTTTTTAATCTTTCTACTTTACATTATTTTTAAGTTGTAAGTCATCCCAAATCTCTAAAAGTAGGCAGAATAGTATTCTAATATAAAGAAATGACTTAATAAATAAGCTAGTTAAATAGCTATGAGTTAAATAAGCCATTTTGGGATGGGTGTAGAACCTACTCATAATTTTTAACAGTGGTTGTCAAATGTTGGTGTGCATTCAAACCATTTAAGGAGTCTATTAAATACAGCTGCCCAAGCTGTCTGCCCTGGGAACCCATATTTTTAACAAGCTCTGCAGGAGAATCCAATACACATCAAAATGGGAAAAACATTCATTGATAACATTAATTCCACAGGAAAAAAAATTATGAATCCTAAACAACTTATAAAATAACTTCTGAAGTATAGCCATTTATGAAATCTAAATTACCTGTTCCTTGACCAATAAACTAAAATTATTCTATACATTGTAATGTTCCCCAACTGAGTCATTTCTACTCCCCCTTTGAAAACTACAGTGCAAAGAAACAGTGCCATTTAAAGATTTATGTTCTTTAAGAACAAGTCAAGCCTCTGTAAACTGAACATATTTAGTGTGCCTAAAGAAAAACATTCATCTTCCAGATAAATATTTTCTGAAGATAAATCTGAGACCAAAAAGTTAATTGTTCCTCTAAGCACATTTATGAGCACTGACCAGACAAGTATTTTCAGATCACCGCCCTTTCACTGTTCTGCACTAAAAAATAATGGTGATGAGCAGCTAAAATAGACAAGTCTGCTTTAAAGTGCCCAAGAGGCAAGAAGGAATAAATAGTGGTTTCTCATTATGAAGATAAAGTGGTTCTATATTTAAAAAAGACAATTTGCTTCTCAAATATATTTGAAAACAAAGAAAACTTTTCAAATGCATTTTGTATTTCACCATTTTCCCCTTTGAAAATGATTTCAGTATCTCAACATTGTTATATAAGAGCAAAAAGGAGCAAATTCAGAACAAATCCAAATTACAATTATTCTAACCATAATAGTGAAATACTTTTTATCTAAATACCGATTATGTACCAGATTGTTGTAAGTGGCTTCATGCATTAGCTCACCAGGTACTGTTATCCCATTCTACGGATGAGGAAACTGAGGCAGAAGAGGGTAAGTCACTAAACCAAGGTCCCACATCTGCTCAGTGCCAGGGCTATGATTCACAACTGGCTCCAGAGTCCGTGCTGAGAACCACTGGTTATTCTGTTTTGTTTGGTTTTTTGGCTCCGGGGCCCAGGCTCTGCCACTTACTTAATTAAGCTGGGTGATCTCGGAATAGTTACTTTAACTCTTCCAGCCTGTTTCTTCATCTTTAAAAGTTTGATAATAAAAGTAAACTTCACACATTGCTATTGTAAAGATACACATACATGAAGTACTAGCATGACATCTAACATACAATAACACTCAAATACTGGCTAATTCAGCTATATTAGCTATAATTTATAATACTTGGCTATATTAATAATCCATATTAAAGAGTTAGTCATATTAATAATCTATATTCTGCAATGGCTTCTAAATAAAATGATATTTCAAAAGTACTATAATCAGTTATAAAGTTAGAAAGAAAACAGAACATAATTAATCCCTGGTCAATACACAGCTTCAAAATGATACAGTTTAGAAAGCTGCTACCTCTTTTTTAGTTGGAGAACTTTTAGTTTTCTTGGGTGTTTTTGTTTCTCCTTTCAATTCAATAGCATTTTCTTTTCTTTTTGAGCCCACAGGCTCTACCTCTTTGTAAGAATGCTGTTCTTTTTTTTTCAGAAGTGCTAGCTTAGCACTGGCCTTTGGAGAGAGTTCTCCTACTTTATGAGGTGATGTCTTAGAACATGGCTGAGATCCCTCTGAATGTTCACATTTAGTTTGTTTCTTAGGACTGAAGTTCACTCTGTCGTCTGAGAACTGTTCTGTTTTTACTAGGAAGAAAGAAAAGATTATGATTATTGCTTTTAGGAAATGGTACCCATTATCAACCATTGTTTTCATTTTTCAGCAGAGCAGTCTTAGTAGTAAACATTATTATGTGGTGACTTCATTAACACACTCAGATTTCTTTTTTTTAATTATGATTTGGGTGAAAGTTTACAGAGCAAATTCACTTTCCATACAGCAGCTCACATACACTTTGTCTCATGACATTGACCACAATTTAACACAATGCAACAGCTCTCCTCCCACTTCCTCCCCATAGTTACCTCTTCCCTGTGTCCTTCCCTCCATGCACTCCTGCCCCCTGAGCTGTCTCCCTGTGCATAAGCAGCCCTTCTTTCTCCCATAATTGTTCTCTCTGAGGATCTACCTAATGTAAATGTCACCTCATAGATTTATTTTTTAATTGGACATCTGGAGATTACTTCTTTGTAAAACCAGTTCAAATTAAGGGATTTGTCTCTTTTTAACGTAAACTATTCATTTCTTGAATAAATATGGTAACCTACATCTAGAAACATGGAATTCACTCCACAGATAAACGTCAATGATCTGAAATTTACAGAGAAAACTCACTGACTAAAGTATGTGACATAAAAATTCTGTTTTTAATACAGGTTGAAAGCCAAAATCTTGAAGTTTCAAGACCAACAGGTACTAAATGAACAGATTTATTAAAGTATTAAGATCATCTATAGTAGCAGATGGTTCTATATCAGGCCCCTAAAGAATAAAACCTACAGTCAGCTGGAGAGCTTCAGATGACCTGGACATATGAGTCAACTCTAAACACCTAATTCTCTGTCTTACTGACTGAAGTCCACACATTGCACTATACTTGGAAATTAACAGGAAGCCAAGAACTATTAACACATTTCTCACACCATCAGAGCAGATGGGCATTCTGTAGCACCTGCTACTCAAACAGCTTTCAGAGTCGTCTAAGTGATTTCTGTCTACTAGTCCTATGAAATGTCTACCTGAAAACACAAGGCAATTATTCAACAAAATGTTTCAACAAGGTTACCGTGAATTTTCTTCTGTAAAGACAAGTATTCTAACTTACTTTCTTCTTCTAATATTACCTTTACGAGGACATTTATGTTTTTCTGTTCTACTTAAATTGGCTTGGACAGACGAAGATGTTTCTTTCTCTTCTGGGTCCTTCCGGGTCTAAGCAAATTTAAAAAGTGTCAAATGTGACAAATAATAGGAAAAACTATTATTACTACCACAAAATGTATTGTTAAGAATGATTAAAGATTTAATTCTAAGTTTAAAGGCCACTTTCCAACCTAGCAGGATACATCAATAAACTTTCTTTCATTCATCTACACAATTTCTGGGGCAAATAAATAATGTTTTATTACTTCATGTTATAGATGAGGAAACTGATATGAGGGTATAAAAATACACCTATAAAAAATTATCCTTGTTCATCTCAAATGAGGAAAATCTGGAAGTAGAAAACTTACTTTTACTTCTTTCATCTCAACTCTCAAAATTGTTACTACTATTCTACTGAAAACTAAATTCTAAACCAAAAAGACTTTTAAAATAAAAACAATCTAAAGCTCAGAACAAAAGAAAAATAAGATCATTTTCTCAAAAAGGAAAAAAATAATAATCGCTTGCTCTCTCAAAACGCCATTTTTCAAAAATATCACAAATGAGGATTTCCCATACAGTATTCTTAAAAATAATTATAATTTCAATGCCTTTAGAGGAAGTAAGACTTTTCAAATGGCAAAATCCCAGCCACTTCCTATTGTCTTATAACTGCCAGCTTAAGTCTTGGCCCTTGAGAGTAACTAAATTTGCAAATCCCTGCTTTGAAAGAAAGAAGTAAAATCCTTATCAGATACTGAGTATCAGATATTTATAGTGACAGTTATATTAAGAGAATGTGATATATTAGAAGTAAAGGCTAGCTTACTGGAGATAAAGTGATGAAAACACTTTTGATGCTTTTAAAGATCTCTCCCTAAAAATATTATTATTAATTGAGACTATTTAATATACAAGTTGTTTTTTGCATTTCTCTTATTATAGTTCTTAAAATCAACCAATTAGAAATAGCAAAATTGTACCTCCCAAAGAGGTAGTAATTAATATTAAAGTTATTAAACTGTGTTCCACATAAATTTTTATAAACTCTGGTAGTGCTAACCAGAAGGCTGGAGGTTCAAATCCACCAGCCACTCCTCGGAAGGAAGGTTGGGCAATCTCCTTCCATAGTGATACTGCCTTGGAAACCCATGGAGGGGTCGCTATGAGTCGGGTCTGAATAGAGGGCAAATAACAACAACAATAACATTCTCTGAATATGCACATAAGAGCCCTTCATGATAGTGAGTAAGGAGAAGGTAAAATTCCTTATTTTGTGAAGAAAGGCTCTGGTTTGCTTTGGTTCTATCTTCTTTTAGACAGAACTAGTTTCTCAATGAGCTTCCCAAAAACATTTTTACAAATTAATTTACTTGTATTCTAGAAAAACTACTCATGGTTGTATATAGTGCCTAGAATATACAGGTATGAAAAGGTACACACTGATTTCTATCATACATTCATTCAGAGTACAAACAGCCTGACATAAGCCACCTTTTTGGTCTTGGGTTCTTCATCCAACATGGCTAACGTTCTGGCAAATTCTTCATCCTCATGCAGTTGCCTCTCCAACTGTAAAAAGTGTCAACACAGTGAGTTGCTTTTGTTTTTTATAAATGATGGCTTATTCTTTGAAAATGATACTTAGAAAAAAGTAGAAAAACATTTTCCAGAATATGACTATGATATTTTTCCACTTCAAATTAATAGTCAAGTATCACAGGGTGCTAATCAAAAGGTTGACAGTTCAAACTACCAACCACCCACGCCACAGGAGAAAGATGAGGCTGTCTGCTTCCGTAAAGATTTACAGCCTCAGAAACTTGATGGGGCAGTTCGACTGTCCTGTAGGGTCACTATGAGTCAGAATTAACTCAATGGCAGTGGGTTATTACAGGTTTATTTCACTTAGCCAAATTACATTTCTGAACATACATTTCTAGTTTACCAGGCATGACAAATAAATTCAGCATATTCTGAAAGTCACATTTCTTATCAAATTTGAAGCCTATAGTTTTTTCTTAATGGTCTTAATGCAACACTTACAGATCTTTTATTTGTGTTTATTTTAAACTCTAGAAAGAGCTCTGAAAGGAAACTCAACCTGATGGAAAAACAATAGCCTAGAGGATACAAAGGGAGCTCTGGTAGCATAGTGCCTAAGGCACTTGACTGCTAACCAGAAGGCTGGCAGTTCAAATCCACCAACCACTCCTCAAAAGGAAGATGGGGCAATCTACTACTGTAGTGATACTGCCTCGGAAAGCCAAGTAGGGGTAGCTATGAGTTGGGTCTGACTCGACGGCACATAACAAAAACAGAAGATACAAAAGAAAAAGTGAATCTAAGAAATTAAGAAAGTAACATAAATTTTTAAGCATACAACAGCAAGATACAGATAAATGTAACCATCAAACTCCCATTTTCAATTACTAACTCAAACGTATCCGTTAACTTTTAAAAATCTAAATCATCATGTTAGTTTTCCTAACATGCTAATGCAACACACAAAGCAGACATTCCAGTTACACTGCTGTATTTCCAGAAGAGACTGCACAGTATTGGAAATTGTTCTCAATATAAACTAAATGGTTTTGTGCTCTCTAGTAAAAGGGTCTAATTTAACACTAAACAAACAACAAACATATGCCCATACTATTCAAACAAAAGGAAAGACCTCAAAATCCACTCAGTCCAAAAGAAAAGGCTTGGAAATTGGCATAAACCTGATGAGAACATGGTAATCTTGTGTAAAATGAACTAACCCAAACTATGCAGAACTGTAAGCAAGCCAGATAGATGTGATAAGTATGTTCTCTGTTGACTAACATGTCTTTACCAAAATTGAACTACACATCTAATTACTAAAAACAATTTGAAAATCTTGCACATAACTCTGAATCCACCATGGTCTTGGAAGGATTTCTAATTGAGCTCTGTACCACTACATATCAAGCTATATAGTTAGTGTGCTTCTCATAAAGAGGCCAGATGTTTTAGAGGATGGAAGAAAAGCAACTGGTATACTTCCATCAGAAATTCATTATTGGTAATAATGGCATCATGTGATCAAGAGTCCTGTATTGTAATACATCACTCAGATCAACAGATGATGTTATCATGCTGACTTCCATGTCAAATACTAGACACACATTTACTAAATGAGTAAACAAAGAGGTGAAAGTGAAGGGGAAAAAATACCTCCTACTGGCGTAATTCAGGAACCCTGGTTGCACAGTGGTTAAAGAGCTCAGCTGCTACAAGGTTGGCAGTTTCAACCCACCATTCATTCCACAGCAGAAAGACAAGGCAATCTGCTTCTGTAAAGATTTACAGTCATGATGATTCAGAATTGATTCAAGGGCAGTGAGTTTATTTGGTTAGAGGGAAAAGACATCAACAATCATTTACAACCTAAAATTCCTTCAGCAGATTAATTAATTAACAAACAAGATCCTGAAAGAATGTTGAAAATGTGGAAATAGAGAATTTTGATACAAAGTACCATACCTGGTTTGGAAAGGATAGGGTGAACTGCCAATACTTGGAACAGATAAGGAAAAGTTAGTTCCTTAGAAATTCAGAGTTTTGTCTGGATCACCTCTGCTACCTTGAAATGGGTAGAAATCTGTTGTTGGTAGTTTACCTAAGTCAATGCAATCAAATAAGATAAAAAATGATGGTGAAAACACAAACTACAAACTGCCAAATTAATGAAATGTGAATAATCATACATACTCCAGAATAATGGAACACAGCTCTCTCACAAGAGTATTTATCAAGAGCCTGTCCTGTCAGGCTGAACTATTAGGTATGTCTATGAAATGGGGAGTGTATCCAAGAACTTGTATAGGGTTGGCAGACAATGGTCCTATAAGTTTATGTGAATGATCAGAATTCCAAGGTGTATAGTTGAGCTGACAAGGGGAAAGGTTGTGGTCACTGCTTGGTCACAGCCAGCAACCAAGAGGGACCGAGTAGTTGAACCTGTGGGCTTGGGACTATAGTTGCAGGGGACATCAAGCTCAATTGGCATAACATACTATACAAAACATTGTTCTACCTCCTACTTTGGCAAGTAGCAACTGGGATCTTAAAAGCTAGCAAGCTGCCATCTAGATACAACAATGGGTCTCTCCTCATCAAGAGCAAAGAAGAATGAAGAAAACCAAAAATTCATGGAAACAATTAGTCCTAGCGACTGATACACCATCCGATCTGCAGCCTATACGACTATGAGACCAGAAGAACTAGATGGTGCCCGGCTACCACTGTTATCCACTTGGAAGGGGATCTATGTAGGAGATCCTTGATAGAGAGGGAGAACAATGTGGAACAAAACTCAAAATCATTTGGAGAAAATAAAGGGGGGGGGACCAGGTTTGCTGGTCCGATAGAGCCTGGTGGAACCACTGAGACTATGGCCCCTAGCTGCCCTTCAGATCTGGAATTGAACCCACACCCGTGGTTTCCAGCCAAACAAAAGACAGGCAGTATCAGTTGAACATTTACCTCAGGTAGATACATTCCTTGGAGAGAACAATCATGGGAGAAAGAAGGGTTGCTTATGCACAGGGAGACAGCTCAGGGCACAGGAGAGCATGGAGGGATGGACACTGGGAAGAGGTAACTATGGGAAGGAAGTGGGAGGGGAGCTGCTGCATTGTAAATTTTGGTCAATGACATGAGACAAAGTATATGTGAACTGCTGTATGGAAAGTGAATTCGCTCTGTAAAATCTTCACCCAAATCACAATAAATAAAATAAAATTTAAAAAATAAAAATAAAAAAAAAAAGCTAGCAAGCTGCCATCTAGATACAACAATGGGTCTCTCCTCATCAAGAGCAAAGAAGAAAGAAGAAAACCAAAATTAATGGAAACAATCAGTCCTGCCGACTGGTACACCATCCAATCTGCAACCTATACAACTATGAGACCAGAAGAACTAGATGGTGCCCGGCTACCACTGTCATCCACTTGGAAGGGGATCTAGGAGATCCTTGATAGAGAGGGAGAACAATGTGGAACAAAACTCAAAATCATTTGGAGAAAATAAAGGGGGGGGGACCAGGTTTGCTGGTCCGATAGAGCCTGGTGGAACCACTGAGACTATGGCCCCTAGCTGCCCTTCAGATCTAGAATTGAACCCACACCCGTGGTTTCCAGCCAAACAAAAGACAGGCAGTATCAGTTGAACATTTACCTCAGGTAGATACATTCCTTGGAGAGAACAATCATGGGAGAAAGAAGGGTTGCTTATGCACAGGGAGACAGCTCAGGGGGCAGGAGTGCATGGAGGGATGGACACTGGGAAGGGGTAACTATGGGGAGGAAGTGGGAGGGGAGCTGTTGCATGGTCGTGAATTGTGGTTAATGTCATGAGACACAGTGTATGTGAACGGCTTTATGGAAAGTGAATCTGCTCTGTAAATCTTCACCCAGATCACTATTTAAAAAAAAAAAAAAAAGAGCCTGTCCTGTGCCAGGCACTAAGATGAGCACTGAGGTCAAAACAGTTGAGTAAGACATAAATGCCCCCGCTTTTGTGGAGTATGGAGCCTATACATAGGAAGACACTTAAATAGCAATTATAATAAGTAATAACTGTAGCTACAATCAGGTGCTACAAAGTATGTTAAGTGACAATATAGCTAGGAGAATCTGAGAAAGTGTCACTTAAGCTAGTAATTAAGAAGGGGATTCAGACAGCAGGTATCAAAGCCCGAAGCCTCTGAGAGAGACGAGGACTCCTCCTTGAAATACTTTCTTCATTGGCTTTCATGAAATACCACATTCTCCTGACTCCCTTCCTACCTCACTAGCAACTCTTTCTCAGTCTCTTGCTGGATCCTCCTCTACTCTCTAACCTCTAAATGTTAACAGTGCCCCAGTGCTCAATCCTGACACATTCTTTCTTTTCTGTTTACGTCTCTTCCCATGATCTCATCCAGTTACACTTGTTTTAAATACCATCAACTGCTAATGATTCCCCAATATACATTCAACCTAGGCCTGTCCTCTAAATTCCAGACACTGCTATCCAACCACCTCCTCAGCAAGGTCATTTAGAAGTCTATTAGGGATCTCAAACTTAACATGTCCAAAACAGAACTCCTGATGTCTCTGTATCAAACCTGCTACACTGCCTCCAGTGTTCTAGTCTCAGTAAATGGTACCACCATGCATCCAGTTGTGCTCAGATCAAAACACTTGAGAGTTATCCTTGAATCCTCTTTCCCTCACACCTTACATTCACTCTATTAGCAAAAACTTAAAGGCTATACTTTCAAAACACATACAGATTATGACAATTTCTCACCACCACTTCCACCCTCATGTAAGCCAACATTTCCTCTCACCTACCCTTCCATACCAGCCACTCCTCAGAAGGAAGACTGGGCAATCTACTTCCTCGGAAACCCAAGAAGAGTTGCCATGAGTCAGATTCAACTTGATGGCAGTGAGTTTGGATTTTTTGGTGTTACCCTTCTACGACAGTCTCCAAACTGGTCTACTACCGCTCCTGCCCCAGTAGGGTCTACTAGCCTCACAGCAGCCAGGATGATTTTTTAAAAAAGATCCATCAAGTCATCACTTCTATATTCTAAACTCCAATGGCTTCCCATCTCACTGAAACTAAATCCAAAGCCCTTACCATCCAAACATCTTTTTTTAGTTGGTATCAAAGACCTATCACGACCTATAGGATTTGATGCTGGCCATTTCTCCAAATTCTTCTCATACCACTACCCTTATTTTACTCTAGCCATATTGATTTCTTTGAACACATAAAGAACACTCCTACCTTAGGACATGTGCACGGACTGACACAATGGCTGCAATGATGGGCTCAGGCATAGGAAAGATTGTGAGGATGGTGCGGGACTGGGCAGGATTTTGTTCTGTTGTACACAGGGTCATTGAGTCAGAACCAACTCAACAGCACCTAATAATAGTATGCTTGGAAGAAATCTTCCTCCAGAAAGCCAACTTGATGGCTTGCTGTATCACTGCATTTTATGCCCAAAGGTCATTCCTCAGAGAGGCCTTCCTAACCTCTCTATTTAAAACAGAACACTCATAACCCCAATGATTAATCCAAACCATTTGATCTTTAACTTTGTTTTCAATGGCACCTACAATGACCTGATATTTCTTTTTTTTCTACTTTTTTTTAACAGCAGTATCTCTAATATCTAGAACACTGCCAGACATGCAGTAAGAGATCAATAAGAACTTGTTAAATAAACACATGGGCTTAGTGGTCAAGAAAGAGCTCTAAACTGGAGATGGATTTAGGGGTCATCAACATATACATAGAAGTAGATGAGATAGCCCAAACTGTATGTATAAAGTAAAGAAAATGAAATTATAAATAAACTAAAGGAAACATCCACTAACAGGAGGAAAAAAAAAAAAAAAACAAAAACTAGTAATAAATCTGGAACCAAGTAATTATCTCCTGCTTTCATCATTTATCTTTTACATAAACTTAGGTTTTCACATATTAGATTTTAACTTATTTTATACATAATTCTTCCAATGAAGCACAATCCAAAGTTAGACCAGAACAAGTTTGACTATTTGCCTAGCTAATTAGCAGTCACAACATCAAGTTATCAATGCTATGTATGCGAAATGCCAATACCTCAGCATCTTCATCAAGTTGTAGTTGCCTGGCGATGGCTTCATCATTTAACCTGGAATTAGCTGTATTTTGTGGAGGCTATATTTCAATGAAAATGAAGCAAGATTAGCATAAACCTTAAGTTAAGAATAAAGTGTTTTTTCTTGACTGTTGCCGATTAAATAAAATGATGAGAGGTGAGTGCACGCGTGATAGAATAAGTGCGATCCACACAGACCAGGACAATCGTGCTCACAGTTACTTCCTGAACACAGCCAATTTCCCAATGAGTAAATATCCTCCAGACAGATGGCTCTCAATTCCACTGACAAGTTTCAAAAAAAACCTGTAGATGAATATCTTGACCTGAGAAGTCCAGAACACTGGCAAACCAATATGTGAGAATGATTACATTGTCCTCTGGAGGCACTAACGAAATCAACAACCACGGCACACCATTTGGCAGGCTTTAACTCAGGGGACTATTTTGCTATAATTTATCTGTATGTATGCTTCCTCAATGGCTAGAAAAAGATGACTCCAATATCAATCATAATAGAGAAGGTAAAAAGTATAGCACAGTTATGCCCTATGCAGAAAGGATGTATTTATGCCCTCATTTGACGATGAATTAGAAAACTGTCCAATTTTGTCTGAGGTAAATAGTAAAATGAGTTTGCATTTTGTGTTTAACTTAAATTCTGAGAATAAGAATTTTTTTCTTACAGTTTAAATGATCTTTCCTATTCCAATTTAAAAAAAAAAATTAAATGTATAATATTTTAACTCCCTCATCCTCTAAAATGAGGGCAAGATATACTTTTTCCATAATCATAGAAAGATTATTTTCATTCATAAAATATGTTGACCTACTGATAAAGCCCAAATTGCCCCTCTTATTAATAAAAGTGAATCGGTAAAAAGCCTGGACACTCTTACTTGCACCTAGAACACTCACCTCTTTTCTTTTGCTCGACACCATCTTCCTTTCTGATCTTTGGATACTTGCAGTTCCAAAATAATCAACCACTGATGTTGGGGTAAGTTTTATTGGTGATAAAGGCTTATTCATGGTCTTAGTGTTTTCTTCAGTCTTTTCCATGTTTGATGCTCCAAGATAACTATGTGCAGATTCTCCATTCTCTCTTGATTTAAAGGTTGCCTTCTTGCACATAAAGTCATCTTCTTCATCTTAATAAAATAAACCAATTTTAAAAATAAAACATCAATTCTAATTATCCAAAACCACCACTTCTGACAGTTTTATAAAAACTATACAAGAATTTTCCAGTAACGTAATAGACAGTGTTTCACTGCTATTCATAAAGTTTTCATTGGCCAATTCTTTCAGATGTGGATGGCCCCTTCCTTCACCCATATATGCATGTGAAAGCCTCATATGCAAGTGAAACTTGGTCAGTGAACAAGGAAAACCAAAGAAGAGCTGATGCTTTTTAATTGTGGTATTGGCACAGAATTCTGAAAGTACAATGGACTGCCAGAAGAATGAACAAATCTGTCCTGGAAGAAGTCTCACTAGAATGCTCCTTGGAAGCAAGAATGACCAGGCTTTTTTGGTCATGTTATCAGAAGAGATCATTCCCTGGAGGAGGACATTATGCTTGATAAAGTGCAGGGTCAGTGAAGAAGGGTAAGACCGTCAACAAGATGGACTGACACAGTGGCTACAACAATGGGCTAAGGTAAAGCAAGGACTATGGGGATGGTGCACGATGAGGCAGTGTTTTGTTCTGTTGTACACAGGGTTGCTATGAGTCGGAGCCAACTCAACAGCACCTAACAACAACATAGAACAGCTACAAAATTCTAAGGATTTTTTTCTTCCTATCTACCAAATCCAACAACCAGCTTCACAATTACCAATGCCAGAACTATAGTACACTATCCTTCCTGCCCCAATTACTATCCAGTGTACACAAATCTATTTATTCACTCATGTATTCAAAATATTTACAGAGCACACATCATATGCCACGCATAGATCTAAGTGCTGAAGATAAAGGAGAAATAAAAAAAGACAAGATTCCTGCCTGCATGGAGAATGGAGTCTAGAAAACATATACAAATAAACATATATTATCCAGTTAAAAGTACTATAAAGAAAAAGTAAAACAGAGTTAAAGAAGTAAGGAGTGATGAAGAGTGCTCTTTTAGACGGGGTGGCCAAGAAAAGCCTCTTTGGTGAGCAACAATTAAACAGAGCCCTGAAATGAAGATACCTAAGGCAAGAGCTCAGAAGGAAGGTTGGGCAATCTATTTCCGTAGTGATACTGCCTCGGAAACCCAAGGAGGGGTCAGACTCGATGGCACATAACAACAACAACAACAAGGCAAGCACATTCAGGCAAAGAAAACTACAACTGCAAAAGTCTTAAAGTGAGTGTACTTGGAGGTCAATGTGACTGGAGCACAAAGAAGGAAAGCTGCAAGACTTAAAGTCACAGAGCTAGGGCCTAAATTCTAAAGGACTTTTTATTTCATGGAACCACTTAATGGAATTCTATGTAGCAATAAAAAATTTAAACATATATTCATATTTACTGACACAAATATATATGTTTGTTAAGTAACATTATATGTTTAATGATGTGTGTGTATGTGTGCACAAAACAAGGCCAAGAGCCAATTGTGGAACAGACCATCAATTGCTCATATGCAAGTTCAAGTTCAAGCTGAATAAAATTAAAACACATCCACAAAAGCCAAACGCAACCCTAAGTATACCCCACTTGAAATTAGAGACCATCTCAAGAATAGGTTTGATACACTAAACACAAACAACCAAAGACCACGAGTTGTGGGATGACATCAATGACACCATACATGAAGAAAACAAAAAGACAGGAAAGAAAGAAAAGACCAAAATGGGTATCAGAAGAGACTCTGAAACTTGGCCCATGAACGTACAGTAGCTAAAGCAAAATGGAAAAAATAATGAAGTAAAAGAGTTGAACAGATTTCAAAGGGCAGCTCAACACAACAAAGTAAAATATTAAATGAAACGTGTGAAGACCTCGAGTTAGAAAGCCAAAAGCAAAGACACGCTTGGCATTTTTTAAGCTGAAAGAGCTGAAGAAAAAATTCAGGCTTGAGTTGCAATATTTCAGGAAGCATCAAAAGAAAATGGAAGAAAGAGGCAGAGTTACCGTACCAAAAAAAACTGGTCCACAATCAACCATTTCAGGAGATATCATATGATCATTGATGGTATTGAAGGAAGAAATCCAAACTGCATAAAAGGTACTGGAGAAAAACAAAGTCCAAGATTTGACAGAATATCCACTGAGATGTTTCAACGAATAGATGCAACACTGAAAGCACTCACTCATCTAAGCCAAACAATTGGGAAAAAAGCTACCTGGCCAACTGACTAGAAGAGATCCATAGTTATGCATCTTTATCCATATTTATGCATCCACATTTCTGTGATTCCAAAGAAAGGTGATCCAACAGAATACGGAAAGTATCAAACAATATCATTAATACCACATGCCAGTAAAATTTTGCTAAAGATAATTCAAAAATGGTTACAAAGATACATCAACAGGAAATTGCCAGAAATTCAAGCAGGATTCAGAAAAAGATGAGGGATATCATTGCTAATGTCAGATGGATCTTGGCTGAAAGCAGACAATACCAGAAAGATGTTTACCTGTGTTTTGTTGACTATGCAAAGGCACCTGACTATGTGGATCATAAGACATTATAAGTAATGGCAAACCTCTACACAGACCAAAAGACTCTGAACAGAACAAGGGGATACTACATGGCTTGAATTCAGGGAAAATGAATGTCAGGACTGCATCCTTTCACCACACTTACTCAATCTGCATGCTGAGCAAATTATCTGAGAAGCTGGACTATATGAAGAAGAATGCAGCATCAGAATTGGAGAAAGATTCATTAACAACTTCTAATATGCAGATGATACAACCTTGTGTGCTGAAAGCAAAGCAGACTTGAGGCACTTACTGATGGAGATCACAGACTACTCAGTATAGACTACACTTTCACATAAAGAAAACAAACTCCTAACAAATGGACAGGTAAGGAACATCATAAGAAACGTAGAAAACACTGAAGTTGTCAAGGACTTATTCTACCTGAATCCACAATCAATGACCAGGGAAGCAGCAGTCAAGAAATCAAACAACATACAGCACTAAGTAAATCTGCTGAAAAACACTTTAAATAAAGTGTTAAAAAGAGAGTTCCGGCAAGATGGCGGACTAGGCAGAAGAACTGCACAGATGCTCTTCAACAAAGAAAAGGGAAACCAATTAACACAGACACAGAAGATAATCTTGGACCCCTGAGCCTTGAAGGGAAG